TTCCGCAAACATTGATCAAATCAAGCCCTACTTCGATCGTAATAAAATGCAAATCTTTTCAGATCTTTTGCAGGATCCGGCACGGCAGACACCGCAGGTACAAGTTCCAGAGGTGAAAAAACGACAAGTACAAGGGCAAGCCAATGAGAGACAGAAGCAAGTGAAAAGAAAATTGCCCCGCGGAAAAATTGAAGGTAACAAGAAAAAGAAGCCGTTCCACCGTCCAGAAAACAGAGTTCACGAACACCCCCAGAATGAAGAAGGGAGAAGGACGACGTATGTGAAGAGGACCAGGAGAAATGACGGCAACTATAACCCGGCTTTAAAACGGAAGATCTGACTCATCCGACAGAACTCTCCGCAGCAAAAGTCGCCGAACTGCGGAAGGGCCATCAGCGGCGGAGGAAAAAGTACAAGAAAAATTTGAACGGCCAACAACGAGGTCCAAGCAGGATCACGACAGAAGTTTCCCGGTTCCGCCAAGACCAGCTGCCTTCAAACGGCCAAGACCACAAGCAGAGGAGAAAAGGAAAAGTATTCAAGGGTGGCCGTACTGGTGAAAAAACGGAAGCTTCCAGAGGAAAGCACTGAAGGGCGAGCCCGTACAAGAAGGAGGATAAACCAAGCTACTATCTGCAGTACCTTTAAAGACTGGGCCCAGAAAAGGATGTCCGAATATTACAAAGATAAGTAAAATTTTATGTTACTTTGCAAACTTAAGTTAATCTTTCATTCTTACTGCAAGTGGCAGATTTCAAGAAGTTTTACCTCATGCGAGGTCTACCTTTATCGCCAAAAGGGCGAGAAATGAGTTGTGACCGATTTTCTTATTATGTTTTTCAATTACTCGCGCGTAAAACTAAAGTTGATGTATAATAGCGTTGTGTAAAGACTTAAATATTGTAAAAAGTTATTGTATAAATTTTATTTAAAACATTCTAGCAAGAAAGAAGTTTTAGTCTGAAAGACTTTTTGAAATGTAGTATTATTTCAATGTAGAAAGAATTGGCACTTGCTTTGAAAAGAATAGAAGTTAACAATGTACTACTAATGTATGTTTTCAAATGTGTAAAATTAACGGCATGTTGATATGTTCTTATATACATGTGAACTGTTATTTTAAATGTTAAGAAATACCGTGATATGGTAAAAGTGAAAGTAATGTTAAAAATTTGTTATTCGTGTGACTGTAAAGATTAAATCATGGCGAATATGTGGTAAAGGTTGAATGATGTAGTTAGGCTCTCTGACGCTACACTTTAGAGTTAGCCACTTTTAGAATAGTACCTCAGGGTTTAGAGTTGAAATTAGGGTGTGTTAAGAGGTCTCGTTATGTTGAATTTTAACACGTTAGTGTTTTGATTGTAGGAGGAAGTGTGGCACACGTAGACAGAAACACATTCGTGTTTGGTGTTTTTTACAACACATGTCAGAGAGCACGGGGAGAGATAATTAAAATAGTCATGAATGAAATAAGAATGTTAAGAGAAGTATATTCTATATGTTATTTGCAATGTCATTGTGTAACATTTCATTAAACTAGTTTTCCTTCCAGATCTCTGGAAGGAACCAGAATTGAATAAAGCTCCTGTTTAGATGCAGTACAGATGAAAAAAAAGATTGTTGTATATCCTGGGAGCTGCTATTGTAACAAATTTCTTTCTTTTAAATTTTCTAGTTTCTAGAGAAGTTATGTTGTAAAAGGTTGGCCTCGCGTTAGTTTCTAGAGCTAAAAGTTTTCAACAAGGTCGTTTTAGACCTCAGTTTCAAACTAATTAACTCTGGCGGGAAGTATGTAAGGATCTTAAGTTTTACTAACGTTTATTTTATTTTAAATCTTTACTATCACTTCTTATTTTCTACTTCCGGCCAGAATTATAAGCGTGAAGGTTTTTATGCAAAGTTTGTCTGGCGAACGCCAAGTATTTAAGTGTGGGCCTTTTTGCCAAGCGAGAGAGAGGAAGCAGTGAGTTCGAAGCAGGCCGCTTACCTTAGAAGTTACGCAGTTGCTGTTTGCCTTCCAGGCCAGAGGTTTTAATCCTCTTGATAAATTAAACGTATTGTAGTGTTCACAGTCTCTGTGCTACATACGCTTCCTGTTATTATAAGGCCAATCTTCCACGTGTATTATTCTAAAGTTAAATTAGAGTTTAGTTTTATTTTTTATACTTTTACGTTAGACCCCGAGTGGAGGGTCATTGTATTCCGAAGTACGGAAGTTATTGTATATAGAGAAAAATAAAGGGTTTTGTATACCCTTCGTCTGTATCCTGTCTACTTACTACAATTAGTGAACATAGCTTTAGTAAGCTCTCTGTTCCGAGTCAGGTCCTTGTATGTTCCCGAAGAAGGTTAGAAGGAACATTGAACCTGATAAAACAAATTGATTTTCCAACTTGGATGATGCAGCCAATGCTAGTGGATTTGGCCGATATTTGAAATATGCAGTAAAAAGAAGAACTCGCAGAAATTCAAAATGATGAGTCAATTAAAACTTTATTTAATATAAAAGGAGCGATGACATAGCTTTGTGAGGAAACCAGAATCAGATATCCAAATGCAACAAAATTTGCAAGAGAACTATTGTAACCGTTTCCATCTTCATATTTTACTGCTAAAAAAAAAATCGGTTGAATATAATGAAACCGAGAGACTTGAGACTCAAGTTATCTAAATTGGAACCTGACATAAATTTCTTTGCAACAAGTATCAAGCGCAAGGAACTCTCTAAATTTAAATAATAAAAATTACTAATACTTAAAATAAAATTTAAAAAAAAAAAACGTTCACTAAAATGAGTTTTTCCTTGAATTTCAGTTCTCCATGTTTTTAAAGTTCACTTACTATGTTTGCTCACAAAATTTCGTAGTCATTTCTTCCTAAAAACTATCATTCAAGTTTCTTTCGTGAATATTTCAATTTTTAAATATTAAAAATTATGTATATGCTAGGGGAAGCTTAAAAATTTTAGAGAGGATTAGGTGGGGCATAGCACAAAAAAGGTTGGGAAACACTGAGTTAGCGTCTATTATATTTTAGTTCCCGTGCCAATCCAAAGACTATTGAGATTTCCGATACCTTTTCGGGAATTCGAATCGCAGGTGTTTTGGTTGTAATGCTGGGCGTGTTAGCCATTTACCCCATTGCAGAAATGTTATAGTTTCTTTCGAGCAGGGCAAATAATTCTCATAAAAATGTCCCAATGTATTCAAGGTTAATTTATATATATAAAGAAAGAGTTTGTGTGTTTGTGTAACTCAGCCACTACTAAAGCTATCGTTACCAAACTTTCTACGATTCTTTTCTGGATCCTGAAAAAGGTTGACGTCTACTCCCCCCCCCGAAAAAGTGGCTGAAATCAGAGATATTGATTAAAAACTCGGAAAAACAATCATTTTCGCCCTCACTTTTCCCAGTGGCAACAGTCTCGCAAGCTGGAAATGAAAATCTGCTTTATTTTCAATAGTTGTTGCTACTGCTCGCTTTCAAATCCTGGAGTTTGTTAATAGAAAAGTTTCTAAGTTTTACGATGAAATACAAATAGTATTGCCAAACATTAAATACATTATTCCCGATTCCCAAACTTCGTGGGAAGCCATTTCGACTATTCCCATCTTCTTACAACTTTAATCGGCCGAAATATTAATTAAAAACTCTGAAAGCACTAATTTTAAAACTCCCTTTTCCGAGTGGCAATAGTCTCGCGCGTTGGAGATAAAAATGCTTTATTCCGAAAAGTGTTGCTACTGCTCGCTTACCAATCGTAGAGTTTGTTAATTTAAAATTTGTAAGTTTTACAAAATCTCTCTATATATGTAATAATAAAATTCCATAGTCAAGAATACACTTAAAATTCTAACTGTATGTTCTTTTCATTTTTTAATGGCGACGTTCTCTTATTTGAAAGTACGTGGAATTAAATCCACAGCCCCGTAGTCAAGTTGTTTTTCCCGCCTTTTCTATACGTACAGTTTTAGAATGTTCTGGAAATATTTAAAGCGAACTGGAATGGCTGACGAGGCTGACGTCATTTATCAGAAGCTCCGCCTTTCCAGAGGCTATAAAAGGACTCGCAAAAGCATATCGGGGGCTTTTCTTTAATGCAACGATGCAGTAAACTTCATACAAAAAGTTATTAGTAATTCTTTTTATTTACTCCGGATATCTCATTTTGTAACTGCTATTTCTCCTGAATAATCATAATTGGATCCTGTTTTTTAAACTTATCGTCGGATAATTTAAGCTATGACTACATCTATATTTCCTCAACGATCTATTTATTCTGGACAAAAGCTGATACATCACATATATACGTATATATATATATATATATATATAAAGGAGAATGTCTGTTTGTGCGTTTGTTTGTTTGTTCGCGTTAATGATTCTGATCAATTATGATATTTTTTTTTTGCTACATTGAATCGACTAAAATTGAATATAGGTGAAATATTGGATGGGACTTGAGCTTTTACGACCCTTTGATTAGAAAGACGAAAATCATTTGAAACTGCGTGCCATTGTTGCTGATATAATGAGAGAGAATTACTTTATTTTTCTATCGAAATTTTTTATGTGGGCTCCATATCGCACCAGACTGAAAAATGTATAATCATATTTTTTGCACCGTTATTAGAGAAGGATTACAGCGGTACTCTTAACTGACATAGGGTACTTCCGCTAGTATTATATAAAGATGAATATGCTATTGTAAAACAATCGGAATAAAATGCAACGATATTACAGATCCCTTTATACGTGCAGCTATTCTAACAGATAACAGTAAAATAATAAAAAAAATAAATGAATTTTAAAAAAAATTCATTTATTTGTTGTTTAAAATGAATTTTAACTTTTATTTCATCCAAATATTTCTGTTTTCTGTAATTTTAATAATCAGGCAGTGGTTTTCAAAATAAAGTTTTCCGTTGCTTGAATATTTACGCTCTGAGCACAAATATGAATGTTTTTTTAATATACTACATTGAAATTCGTTTCAGGTATTATGTGAAAAGCAAGCAAATATAAGCATGAAACAGGGCGATATCAATGAATCACAAACTCCAGAATTTCGGTAAGGGAAATATGCACAATTTTATTTTGATATTAAGAATTTACATAAAACAAATGCAAGTGTTACTTATTTTGATAAGGAACTATTAGTGTTTTTATACGAGCAAGTTAAAATTAATGCCAAATTTACGAACATATAATGTGTGATTTTCGTTTATTAATTTTTTGTTAATACAAAATAAGCATTTTTGGTTAAAAAGCAGCAACAAAGAAATGTCGTATTCTTGAAAGCCTTTAAACATGTTTTCTGTTTCAGAGTGATAAGCTCGATGTCCAATTTACCAGAGTTTGCCAGAGATTTCAGTTGCCCAGTAAATACAGCAATGAATCGAAAAAATAAATGTCAAATTTGGTAGAATGGAATATTCAAGGTGCAAATTAAAATCATTAGTGAAAGTTATGTGATATATTTACTGGTTTTATTTTTATGTATCACATGCAAAACTGCTATTAAACAGTTCTATATTTACGAGCAGTTTCTTTTGTTTAAACATAAGCACCAGTTTTAATTTTTGTGAGTGTAAATCTAATCACATGAACAATAACTATTACATATATTACAATTACCATTACAAATAACTAACAATAATTTATAACAACTTTTTGAAGATATACAAAATGCGTTCGCTTGTATCTTATGTAAAAAAGGAAAAATACACACGCACCAAAAAAAAAAAAAAAAAAAAAAGGAATTATTTGAATGGGACGAAATTCTTAAGTTTGATGTATATGTATGGAAAAAGAAGAGATTAAAACTTCAGACGAATTCAAGAAATGCAGCCCTATACAGCGATTAAATCAATAAAACTTTGGCCCACATCTGAAAGGTGTTGTTCTGCTTATCATTCACTCACACATATGGCGGATAACATTTTGCGGGATTGCTTGCCAAATTCTCTCCAACTGTAGAGCTAGAATGGCGACATCCTGGAACGGTCAGAAGGCCTACTCCTCAGACCCTAAATATTCTTTATTAGGTAAATTTGATAATTTAGCTGGCCAAGAAAGTGTTTGAGAAACCTGAAGACAATTAACAGAAGTAACTGCTTTATGTGTCTGGGCAATATCCTGCTAAACCACAACTTGGAATGCCTAGAAATGAAGGGCAACATAACACAGCGGAAAATATTATCGACTTTCGACGTTGAATTGTTTAGACATGGCGACAGAACACCGAAGAGCAACTCTTGCCCTGCTTATTACCTTTGAGGAAAAATCGTCCGATCTCCAGGAGACCATCCAAGCAGGCGTAACCCCCGCGGTCCCCTCTGAGATTTATCAATAGCAATGGACGAAAGATAACGTTCAGGGAATAAAAAGTACGATGTCGCCTTTGCAACCGGATACCGTCGCAACGATTATATTCGATGTAGTGTTCCATCCGCTAAGCTCCCAGCAAAGGACCGAATGGAGCCTATACCCCAAGGAAAGCCTCATAACTAACCATGTTGCGACCTCACAACCAAGGGGCAGACAAGACAGTACCATATGGACCCTGCCTAGCGTGAACTATCTCCGATTGAACGTATGTTCTAGAGTCCTGTGAATACTGATTATGTACCCCCGTGGCAGAGACTGCTTAAGTACAGATCCCAGCCAGTAGCTTCACCGGCTTTTCTGCGTCGACCCCGGAGGGGAAGGTATGTCAATGCACACAAGATATATCTGCCTAAAAAAGGAATGCTACCGTTGGAAGGCCTTTTTAAGGGAAACTATCTCAAATTCAAGCCACATACTGGTAAACCCCGGCCCAAACAGCCAGCCCGTTCGCGAAGCTATCTGGTACTTACTTTATTCGCAATGTGCAGCTAAATATAAGACCCTTAAAAGCCAGGATGTCTAACGGGAATACGAGCCATTTTCCCTTAGAAAGTCTTCCATGAAGGCATGCCTCGCCTTAGGCACCTTCTGCTTCATTCCTCATTTCAGGAAAACCTAACTTCACCTAATCTAGCCTTATATGCACATATATAATGTTATCTCTTCACCACCTTAAACTAAAGATGTTTTTCTTATATCTTGTAACGAAAGCTAAAGTAAGCATTGTCATTAAAAAGTTTTTAGAGGGTTATTTTTCTATTTTTTTAAGCAATTAATATAAGAGATACTTTTTTATGTATGGAAAAATTTTACATGAAAATTGTTTGGTGCTTCTATTGTAACGGAAAGCATTCAGAATTTGTATTCGAGAAACAAAAGGGCGAAGACAAAGATGTTTACTGCTTCGATTAAAAGAAAAACCTATACACTGGAATGCGTCTAAAGGATATAATAATTTAACTGGTCGTTTTATTATTGTTCCATCAGCAATTTTTAGTTCACAAGAACGAACTTTGTTACCACGACCACGGAAAACGTTTATCACTCTACCACAATTCCACAAGAGTTTGCACTTATTGTTGCCTTCAATTAATACAAGATCATCAACTTTTAGATCATCATAAACGTTAGGATTTTTTAATTGATGAGCTGTCCGAAGATCCATCAAATATTGTTTTTTCCATTTAGTCCACAATTGCCTAACCAATAAATCTTGATAAATCTTTCTTTTGGTCAGAGAGGACTTGGTAGAGAAATCTTTAACAATGGAATTAAAGTTAATAGGTAATGTAGAATCTTTGTTTCCAAAAATCAAAAAATTGACTGGCTTCAGTGGCAAGTTCCTTGTGGTCATTGCACACATATGTCAAAGGACGAGAATTCAAAACAACTTCCACTTGTGCTAAAACTGTTGATAATTCTTCAAACGTTAGTAAAACTTTACCTAGAAATTTTCTTAAGCACTCTTTCACTGATTTTACTAATCTCTCATAGAAGCCTCCCCACCAAGCCCCTCGTTCTATTATAAACTTCCAACTGATCTTTCATTCGACAGAAAATCTTGGAATTTCTCATTCGACAATAGTTTCGAGAAATGTTCGAATTCCTTTTTTCCCTTTTTAAAAGTTTTCGAGTTGTCCGAATAAATTACTCGACAATTGCCTCTCCTAGATGTGAATCTTTTAAATGCCATCAGGAAAGAATCTGTAGAGAGATTCGGTACAAGTTCCAGATGATAGCCCAATTAAATAATGTTACATAGGCTTTTTGACTTCCTTCGATGTTTTTTACGTAAATGGGTCCAGCAAAATCGATACCAGACACGTAGAATGGTGGTGTCTCATTGATTCTGTCTTCTGGAAGTTGAGAAGTGGTCTGGTCAGCAGATTTCAATGAATATCTTTTACAAATAAGACACTTGTTTATTATTTTCTTGACAAATTGACGTCCTTTTGGGATCCAAAAACGACTTCGAATTTCAGCTAAGGTCATTGCTACTCCTCCATGCATCATTTTAACATGTGCACTTTCTACTATCAAATTTGTTAGCCAGGAGTCTCTTGAAAGAATTGCCGGATGTTTTTCATCATGTGACAAACTAGAATGTTCTAATCTTCCACCTAATCTTCCACCTGTATCAGTATCCCGTTCTGGTCTAAAAATGGGTTAAAAAGATATAAAGCTGATTTCTTTTCGACTTTATTCGCTTTCTTTCTTCAGAGACTCAATTTCTTTGGGATAAAAACGTTTCTTGTTTAGATCGAATCCAATAATTTTCGGCATCTACTATTTCTTCAGTCGTTAATGAACCTGTCAAATGGTTTGTTTTCCTAATTTTACCAATGAACCGTTTTCAAACCGTTTTCCAACCAGTTATTCTCAACAATTTCTTAAATTACTATATTTTGAGATGTCTATAACCCTTTCTTCAACTGCTGTGCACACAAATTCATAAATATCATTAATATTCTTTCTTGCGGTATTCTAATTCTTCTTCAGTGACAGGTTTTCTCTTCATTCTGTCGAGGCCACAATTCAGATGACATTCTAAGCCATTCTGGTCCTTGAAACCAGATAGGATTGCTTTTCAATTCATGAAGTTTAGCTCCTCTCGAAGCCAAATCAGCGGGATTGCATTTACCGGGACAATAATGCCAATTTTCTGGGGATGTCAAATTTTGTATTTCCTGAATACGATTTTTAACGAAAAGCTTAAATTTCTTTGCACAGTCTTTTATCCAGAAAAGTGTGATTTTTGAATCAGTCCAAAAAAAAAAAAAAAAAAAAAAAAAAAAAAGAAAGTTGTACCTTCAAAACTTTAGTGATGCTAGTACCTAATTTGACTGAGAAAAGAGCTCCCATTAGTTCCAACTTAGGTAAGGTGAGAGGTTTTAAAGACGCTAGTCTAGTCTTTGAAGCAACAAAACCGTAAATATTTGTTCATTGTTAGAAATTATACGCAGATACGCTACTGTCCATACGCCTTTTTGCTAGTGTCAGAAAAACAGCGCAGTTCAATCCTTTCCACATCACTATTACCGATTGCAGAAATATAATATCGTGGAATACCGATTTCGTCTAAATTGGAAACTTCTTTGCACCATGCTTTCCAAACAGAACATAAATTTTCTGGTAGTTCATCATCCCAATCTAAAGCAAGTGTCCAATTGTCCAATTTGCTGCAATAAATGCAATATGATTTTGACTCTAAGTACAAACGGTGATAATAGACCTACAGGATCAAAAATTCGTCCTATTGCTTGTAGGACAAAACGTTTAGTATTAACTTGTTTTTTTATAGAAATGTTATCAAATTTTTTACATCAAAGTAAATTATGTCACTTGTCCTTGGTTGTCCCAAGCGACTCCTAACACTTTCAATGGAGGATTTCTAGCTTCCGAAACATGACTGACTAGATTCCTCGGATTCAATACCTTCTTTGATCCATAATTCGCGCGTAGTTCTTGAGAATTGGTGTGCCATTTATGTAGAATCATACTAGCATCTCTAAAAATGTTGACGCATTCTAAACTGGTATTGAAAGCAAGTTCAACGTTTTGGTGTCCTCCAATGATGTCATCTACATAAATGTGATCATTTAGAAATTCGCAAGTGGCAGGGTAGGTTTTCTCATATTGTTTCAAATAAATGGTGTTTAATGGTTGCAGCCAGTAAAAACGGACTGCTATTTACGCCAAATAACACACGTGTGAACCGATAAGTTATAAAATTTTGTGATCATCGAATGGGTTTTTTAGTAAACAGAAAACGCGTTACATCTCTGTCCTTCTCATCTACTACTTCTATCTGAAGAAAAGCCTGCTTTATGTCTTGTAAACCTTGTAAATGCTACAGGATGAAGCCTGAAGGCCAACAGAAGTTCAAAAATGTCAGGATACAAATTTGGACCAATATGCAAGCAGTCATTTAACGAGATTTCACCAGGTCCATGTGAAGACGCGTCGAATACGATACGTAGTTTACTAGTAGTTCGATCACTGCGAACGATTTCTCTGTGAGGCAAATAAAATGTGATTTGAGATTCACTATCAACAGTGTCTGGAACTGGTTCAATGATGTTTTGTTGTAAATAATCTTGTAGAAACTGTTTGGTACGAATAAAAAGAGT